GCTATATGAATGTTGTGAAATTTTAATGTCTGTTCTTTTTAATTTTTATATGTTCCCCCTTCCTGCTTTTATCTGTAAGCCGCCCTGAGTCTCTCAAGAGTGGGTGGCATACAAATCCTAATAAACCGTAAACCGGCATAACATTTGGCAGTGTATTCTAAAAACAATAGTTCATGAAAAATAACAAACAGGATAGACAAGGAGGGGGGCTTCTATATTTCATTCTGAATTGGCATCTGACTGCCCTGTCTGAGATACATAGGGTGTTGTTTTTTTTTCATTTGATCCAGCTTTGTTTTGCAAAAAGGGACCAAGACTTCTATATTGTGAGACTTCTATATTGTGGGATATATATTCAAGTATTGAAAATTGGATGTTTCTACTCCTACGTCTTTGGGGCTAGCCTTGTTTCTCAGAAATAGTCCCATTTTCCATTGTGGATAAATCGGTCAGTCGCCTAGAAACTTACATTTCAGGATACTGGATACTGGGGAGGCAAAACAAAGGAGAGCTATTCTCCTCCTAACCAACTTCTATCTGTGCTGCTGGAAAGAAGATGCTACTGGACTCAAGTGGCTTTTGTCTGATGCAACAAAGCCCTTCCTAGATTTTGTGTCCAGGCCATCGGATTTTCCTTGTGCATTTTTGTTTGATATAGGACTGAAACCATGAGCCTGTGGTCTTTTCTTCAACTATCAGTTGAGCAAGAATAATGGAAGAGCATGCAAGAAAATTTTCAAGACTAGTATGCTGTGGAATGGATACCTTGTTCTGGATTGCAAAGACTTGATTACTACTTATTGGGTTGTTTGTCTGTGTGTGTGTTTTTCAAGGGCAGAATATAAAACGTGCTATAACATAGGGAGTTTCACTGTGATCCAAAGCCCAAAGTGCTAATTTCGATTCCTCTGGTACCCATTTCTGCCAGTCACACCCAGTTTTGGTCCCCATCCTTGCATCCAAGGTGCCTGGCATTGCCATCTGGCAATTAGCGTCCATTTCTTCCCATCAGTTGAGCGCATCAAAGCCTGAAGAGGGAGCTCTTCCTCTACTGTAATTTGTTTTTCACAGCCACAGGGCACAATAATACATTGGGGTGTGCATTGATGATTTGGGGGGGGGGGTGGTGGTGAGAGTCAAGTCATGCATCCAGTCTTGTTGAAAAGCCTCAAATACAAAGGTGGCCCTGAAAGAAAAGGATGCGTTCTGTTCTGAAATACGGGAAACCTTTATTGCAAAAGCCGAGCATTTTAGAAAGAAACCACCTAAGGTGGTAAAGAACCTCCCTGTTTAGTGCAGCTCAAAGCATCGCCATTTAGTACAGAATGTAAAACTCAACACAAAGGCACAAGCCACCCTGGCGTGTACAATTAAGCTGCTTCCCTAACAAATACTGACTTCCCCCATTTCTTCTGCCTCCCCCATGCCCCCCCCCATTCAATTGAAGAGGGAGCTCTGATTTGCATGCCAAGAGCCCATTAGCCTGAACAGCAGCTGGAGTCCAGGAGTGTCTTTTAAGTGGCGAAAAGATTGCTCCAGTTGCAGCGTCTCAGTGAGCTCTTAAAAGTGAGAATATTTATCCGATTCTGCTAAGCTATGGCATTATGATTGTTGTCGGCGGCAACGGGTGGAATAAAGTTGCCCCATAGAGAGGGATTCTGTTAGGATTTCTCTGGATCGCGATTCGTGTTCATGCACTTAATTCTCAAGTCTCTCGATTTCCATTGGCTTGAAAGATTCTAATATCTCTGGCGTTAAATCCCAGGATGATTTCTCATTTGTTTAGATCAGGGGAGTCAAACTCACGTCGTCATGTGACACATCGCAACCTATCCCCCCCTTCGTTAAACCGGGTGTGGGCGTGGCCAGCATTTGACACAGGCCGCGAGTTGAACATCCCTGGTTTAGATCTTAAGCACAGCAAATACTACCCAACAAATTTTGTCCTTTTCCCACTCAAGTTTTCTTAAAATCTCTCCTGCAGTACTAGG